TCCATAGACGGCGGCATCCACTGTCACTTCTGTAAACAGTTTGCAGCTATGTGACGTCTACGTTCTTCTTCTGCACGTGCTGGTTGCTTTGGGGTTGTACATCGTTCACACAGAAGCCTGGTTGCATTCGCATTTACTTAGCAATATGAACGACAACTCAAAAACCATCAGACTTTAGCAAAAAAATCAGAATTGAGGATCAAGACCTGTTGTGTGAACGTAACCCAAGACTTCTTAAACTGATACCTAACCAAGTATTATGAAATAGATTTACTTGAAATAAAGTTCAGATGTTGTAGTAGGATTTTAATGAATTGTTGTCATGTTTATGCGTTAGCTAAAATGGTAGCAGACAGAGAGGCTACAAAGGACATGAAGGATCTCTGCTCACCTATGTGTGCAGAGACGAACTCTGAGTTCAGCACCTTAAAGTCTTGCATGTTTTCAGGAGATGATCATCACTGAGCTGCAGGCCGAAACCACGTACTCAGTCACAGTGGCAGCCTACACAACAAAGGGCGACGGTGCACGCAGCAAACCCAAACTGATCACCACCACTGGCGCAGGTAATCCAATCATCACTGATAAAGATGAACACTGGAAGTCAGTCTCTTTCCATCTCCTGTGACAGTGCAAGGCTATGAGCAATTCAGATAATAGAAACAGAAGCAGTCTTCTTTTGTCATCGGTCGGACGTTCTAATGGCATTCTCACGAAAGACAATATGTGACATTATCCAAGTACTTTTAACTCTTTGCTGTAGCATTTGAACAAGTGCCACCTTTTATATTTTCAACCAGTTTTCTCCTCTGTCAGATTGCATTTGTTGCAGACAGAAGTATTATATTTCGTCTTTCTTGTAAATGGGAAAAAAGTGCAGTAGCCTACTATATAACCCTGCTGACCAGCAGTGTGCAGTAGCATTTGGGAGAGCAGCGGCACTGCAAATAGGCAAACGAACAAATGAATGAACAAATAAAAACAAACTGAGGTCAATGAGAACCTTATCACATTAACAGGGAGACACTGCTGCTGCTTGGATGTGATTATAATTCAGCTTCACAATGTACATGCTGTGAACAAGTTTATGGGTAGAACAACAGAGTTTAATCCAAGGCAATCTAGGGGTAGAAGACAGACGTCTGCATCAGCAAATATCATTTTCCTTCTAAATAGACGTAGGGTAAGGTTAAGTTATAAACTGTCATTGTGACAGAGTCACTGGTTAAGTGTTATTGTGAAGAATCCCAGCCTTTATTTTCAAAATGGGTGTGTCAGTCTCCCATTCCCAGACATTGCTCATCAAAACCTGCCAGAATAATGAAAGGAAAATCAGTCTTGAGAAAAACATTCTGGGTCTCCTAGTTGGAATGGCATCTTGACACAGAAAAGTTAAGGTATTTTGAAACCTTGATAGCAGCCCATGCTCTGATGAATGAAGAAAACAGCGTCCTTTATGTTTCTAAGAACTTTTTTCTCTATTCCCACCAATAGTTCCTGAGAAACCTCGCCTCATGGTCAGTACAACAAACATGGGAACGGCTCTCCTCCAGTGGCACCCCCCGGCAATAACCCACGGCCCCCTGCAGGGCTACCGCCTTCGCTTTGGCCGCAAAGACGTTGACCCACTGACTGTTATCGAGTTCCCTGAGCGAGAGAACCACTACACCACCAAAGAGATCCACAAGGGAGCCTCGTACACCTTCCGCCTTTCGGCGCGCAACAAGGTGGGCTTCGGGGAGGAGACGGTCAAAGAGGTGGTCACAAACGAAGAAGTACCGAGCGGCTACCCGCAGAACATTAAGGCAGAGGGAGCCAGCACCTCCACGGTTCAGGTCAGCTGGCAGCCCGTTCTCCTGGCAGAGCGAAACGGTCAGATAGTGAAATACGCTCTGCAGTACAAAGACATCAACAGCCCGCGGAGTCCGTCAGAACTCTTCATCACTGCCCCGGAATCAACCGTCCTCCTGGATGGGCTCAGGGCAGACACTACTTATGATATTAAAATGTGTGCCTTCACCAGCAAGGGCTCTGGCCCCTATAGCCCAAGTGTCCAATTCAGAACACAGCCTGTGGATCAAGGTAGGACCAGACACTGAACTTCTTATAGCCCCTTTTTTCCTCTTAAAAATCAACCTTTTCCTGCTCAGACCTGTTCAGCTGCAACTTCCGTCCTAATGTCTCAAAATGCTAAAGCTGACTCAACCAGAAGACTCTGGTATTAACATATTCCCCTATCATTAGTTTTTTGTTATCCTATAATTTAAGACCTCCCATGGAGTAAGTATGTGTGTCTCTTTGTGTTTTGTCAGTTAAGTAAAGGTCAGTCATTACTGTATAAACGTGGTGTTGGTAAGAAGGTAAGAGGACAGTTTTCAGTTCAACATAGTACTGGTTTCAACCTGGTTTTGAAGGAGACTTTCCCAGGTAAGCACTAGTGCGTGGGGTCAAAGGAAGACGGACAGAGAGGGTGTTTTGTGTCTAAATCATCTGCTCCCCCTTTCTTTTAGCAGTGTTTGCAAAAAATTTTCACGTGAGAGCTGCTATGAAGTCGTCAGTGCTGCTGACGTGGGAAATCCCAGACACCTACAACCCGGCACAACCTTTTACTGTGAGTGCTCGCTCACCTTGCTCGCAGCTTATAACCCCAACACGTGAACATCGCGCGACACTTTCCCCCACAACGTTTAAATGAGACGTTTCTTTCTCCCCCATACACAGATCCTCTACGATAATGGGCAGAGTGTGGAGGTGGATGGAAAGCTAACACAGAAGCTTATCACGGGTCTTCAACCAGAGACACAGTACTCCTTCCTGTTGACCAACCGCGGGAACAGCGCTGGAGGTCTTCAGCATCGCGTGTCCACCATGACGGCTCCAGATGTCCTTCGCACCAAGCCCTACATGATCGGCAAAACAAATTCAGACGGGATGGTGACCGTAGAGCTCCCGTCGGTCCAAACTTCTGAGACAGTAAGGTAAGCTTGAATGATGCCAGTTTGGAGTGGTATGTAGCTATTTTGTAAGGTATTTGTATGCTGATGAAATAAAAATACCACTGAAAATATTTCCAATCAGACAATATTTTTCCTTCATTCAGTCAGCTAAAAGACAGTGTGCAGCAACACAGATGCCAGACAAAAATCATCATTGAAATCACAGGTTAAGAGGTTTCAAGAAAAATTTACCTCGTTTGAAATCATAAATTTTAAACAACGTTGGTACACCTTAGTTAGGACAGGTCTTCCCAGAGACTAATTATGCACAACACCTTGTCAGTAATTACATATTTTTTTCCCCATAAACTATTTTCATTCCTCCCTGCTTTTGAGACGAATATCCTCTTCACCTCAATCATTACATACTAACGCAGCCGGACTCATTTGACCGCACTCCCCTAAGCCCAGTAAAGTCTCTTACAGCCTTTCAACAAAGCCCAGGATTGTCAGAAGGCTAGGGAGTACAATACATTGCACATGATGGCTTCCAACTCATTTTTTTTTTCTTTTGTTTTTTTGATGCTGCTGGTTGCACTTGGCCCACTGGCTTCCATAATACAGCTTAAGCTAATTAGTTTTGTATTAGCCTGCTACACTGACATTCGGGCTAATGTTAGCTGGTGAATTGCCCCACTAGAAAATCTCAAGTTTGGCAGTTTTGTTGCCACCTTGATGATGGGATGAGAATGCTTTTCTGTTTTTTTTTTGTTTTTTTGACTTAATCCACTGGGGACCTGAGTAAGAAATAACCGCCACTGGCAAAGTATCCTGAGCATGCTAAGCCACACACAGAGAAACAGAAACGAGTGATTACACATGACATTTCTTCTTTTTCTGCGTGTTTTCCAGGGGTTACTATATTGTGGTCGTACCTCTGAAGAAGCAGCGCACTGGGAAGTTTTACAGTCCCTGGGACAGTCCGGACGAGATGAATCTGGAAGAGGTGCGTTCCAGATCGTCTTAGAGGAAATTATTTAAAATACCGGCACAATCCACATTCTATTTCCAGGATTCTGTCAAGACAAGCGTCATAGCTCGGTCTGCAAAGTTGTGTGCGACGAACACATATTTAATTTCTCAAAGCAGGAAAAAGTACGTCGAGACAGGTATGAGGACAGGGGAGACAGGCGATGAGTCTTTCTGATTGACGCAAATGGCTCCAGAGAGCACTGTTCATATGGAAATGAGAACATGAAGTAGCCATCAATTGGACTGCAAACTGCCATCCCATCTCCATCTTCTCCTCCTCCTCTTTGTATTTGCAGTAATTACCTGAAGAGCTTGCATCAGGCCTTAGCGGCTCTTCGCGTTTCAGGAAAAGCTAGCGCACACGCCACTTGACGTTTTATATTTAGAGCTACATGCACAAAGTTGGGTAATTTTGAAGCATCAAGGTGTGCAGCAGTGTTGATAGCTAAATGATGGCTTTTATAAATACAGATTTAGGATTAAAGTTTGAATCTCACATGTTGAAAGTGTCAAACTTATGAGAATTACTTTTCTAAGTGTGCTTTTCATTTGCTTTCAGACTTGAATCGCACAGTAGTTATATTTCATGTCTGAAGAGGGGGGAAAAATGCATAAGGCAGCTGAGCACATTTGTGAAAGTGGCCAAAGAATAAAGATATTTCAAATGGTTCAGTGTGTAACACAACTAGTACCTTTTGGTTTTCAAGTGCCACAGCTCCAAATGTTTCTTTTGTATTCATTTTAAACTTATTTAATCATTTTGAAAGCCAATCAAAAGCTTGGTTAAGAATCATACATTTAACTGTTTTTATCCCGTTTCTGGCTTGAACTGTGATGTCATTTACCCTTTTATAACAGAAAACTATAAGAATGTCGGTCCCTTTCGTTGCACAGCTATTTCAGAGTCTGGCAAAGGCAGCGACACTTCTGATGTTTATTTTATTGGTTATAAACCTCGCGTTATATCATGGGTACAGATGGATAAAAGAAAACACAAGGGGTCTCATCCAGCAACGCCTTCATGGCTCATGCCCGGAGGCCCGTGTCTGCAGCCTTGACCGATGGCCCCAAAAGTCACCGTCTCCGTCAGAATTTATTTGTTTGTCAATATTGGCACTCACCTTTTCACAACTTTTCCCAAGGGCAGCTAGATTTAGCCGTGTTGACAGGAGAGATGATTGAAGACATTATCGGGCAGCACCAACACCCCCGCAGCCAAAACAAAGCACACAACGGCCGAGGACACACACTCCGCAGTGTGAACGGCAGCCACACACACACACACATACACACACACACACACATGTTGGATATATGCATTCAGACAGAGAAACGGCTAACCAGGCGCGATTAGCATAATTATCATCCATGCTTTGTAAGAGGAAATTTGAATTTGACGACACCGGCTTGCATGAAGGGCATTGTTTTCCTTTCAGCCTCGTAGGATCATTATCACTTGTGGCTGGGAAAGAAAGGTGGTGAAATCATTTACCCAAATAACAATTACGGAGTCGAAACGGATCGGCGCGATGTCGAAACCCACAAAATTCAATGTCTGAATCCGTTTTTATTTGCGGCTTGTTTAACTTTTCTTCGTTTTATGTGTGTTGGATTAATTTTCTGCAGAAAATGAGTGGAAAATAAATTACAGTACACTTATCAAACGCCGCCAAGTTCTCCCCAGATTTTACTCGTCGATGCGTTTAAGCAGAAAAAAAGCTTTTGATTGTATCAACAGAGCGATGCAAGTTTTGAATTAATTCAGTCCGTTTCTCACCGTTTGAAGCCGCCGGATAATCCTCAGCTGCTTTAAATGACGGAAAATTCACGCAATCTTTTAATCTCTCAATCTTTTGTCGTCAAATAAAATAAAAGCAGATGAAATAAGAAAAAAAAAGTTATTGATCTTTCTTCTCATGTTCTGCCTTTTTTTTTTTTTGCAATTAGCATTTTCAGCTCAGCAATCAAAAGAGATTGTCAGACTCAGTGAGTGCGGGGTTTGTTTTTGTGTGCGTGTGGCTGGAACGTGTCCCGCGTTATCAGCTGTTTTTTTTTTTTTCTTTCTTTTTTTTCACTAAAGCTACTGAAAGAGATAAACCGAACGAGCCGAGGCCTTCGCTTCCAGAGGCACGCCGAGCCCAAAGCCTACATCGCTGCACACTTCAAAGACCTGCCCAAAGAGTTCACCCTGGGAGACGGCAAGATCTACGACGACTTTGAAAACAAACAACTCCAGAACGGCCAGGAATACATCTTCTTCGTGCTCGCCGTGCTGGAAATGTCTGAAAACGTACGTTTTGTTTTTCAGTTCTGTCCTTTATAAAAATAAAAAAAAAACACTGTAAACGGTTTCACGTTGTCCCTGTACCGCCCCAGATCTCGGTGTAACTTATTGGAATTTTATTTAATAAAAGTGTTATGTAGTTGTATCACCAAGCAACACAACAGACAAGTTAGGGATAAAGAGCTTTTTATAAGAAAATGTCAAAAGAATTGCATTAGCTTTGAAAAAAAAGCATCACACTGAACACTATCATTGTGCTGCGTGAATGCTCCTTATCAGCAAGGAAATTCTCAAATATCCTCTACCTTGTTTGTGTTGGTGAATCATTTAAGATCTCATGAACATACATTTAAGTTTATGGTTGGGAAAAAAAAAAAGTTAAAAGGTCGGATGTGAATACTTTTTCAAGGCACTGTGATCTTAAAGCTCAAGTTCTCTCCCTGATTTCTTATTTAGTTCTAAAAACTGTTAAGGAAAAGGGTCAAATCCACTTCATCTCGGCCAAAGGTCGCAGTCTGCCTCTGGTTGTGTGTTACTCTGAGGGCTTGTGCAGCTTTGCCACGAAAACTTAAAGCAGCACTGGGAACGTGTCCAAAAAGAAGCTGACCCTGGATGCTTAAGGGAGAGAAACCCCCTGAAGACCTTCGCCGATCGCAGGAACACCTCGATAACAGAGCTCCTCTTTAATTGCATCCTACGTGTGGTCCACCTTATCTCCGCTGCTGCAGCCAGTGTGTCAATGTGTGTGTGTGTGCGCGCGTGTGTGTGTGTGTGTGTCAGTGCGGACGAAAGAGCAGAAAGCAGCATGATTAGGCAGCTGCAGGCAAGATGATGGATTTGATGAGCTCCAGGGTTTACAGCTCTACCTCGTACTCTCTCCACTAACCCCGAGTTCAGGTAGATAATGACGGACAGACGCAAATCTCTAATTTGCCCACTAACGCATACATTTTCTTCCCCGGAGACCATCTTTTTATCCCTGGTTTGAATATGAAATGGTTCAATCAGCTCTTTCCTTGAGAAGAAAGATACACAGATAATTGTAGTTGGTCAAACAGCAGCTGTGCAAAAAAAAATAAAAAAATTACTCAAGAGGAAACTTTGAATTAGCTTTGAATTTGCCTTACTGAATTCACCGCATTGCAAATAAATAGGAAACACGTGCAGCAAAATATCAGACGGGTTTTAAAACGGCAAAAACTGGACCAAAGTTCTGTTTTTTCCTTCTCAGATCATGTATGCCACCAGCCCGTACTCCGACCCAGTTGTTTCAGCAGACCTCAATCCCCAGCCGATCATGGACGAGGAGGAAGGTCTCATCTGGGTGGTGGGGCCCGTGCTGGCAGTTGTCTTCATCATATGCATCGTCATCGCCATCCTTCTTTATAAAAGGTGAGGACATTGCAGCGCATCAGAAACTCACAACAATCTGTCGCAGATAGAAACGCTCGACGTATTCCGCATCACAGAGCCTCTACCAGACATAACAGTGAGGTGCATGAGGCGCTTTTTTTTGTGTCTGCAACATTTGTTTCAATCAAGAATCCCCCCCGGAGTGTTTGTCGTTAAAAAAAAGCACAATTTTAATTTTATCTGACCAAAGAACAAGGTTCATTTCATCATAAAAACTTTGAAAATAACAAAAAAACTCAGATTCTTAAAATGTATGTATTTTGCACACTATTATTTCTGTTGTGTCATTTCTTTTGGGGGGGTCACTACATCAAATCTTGAAATTTTTCTCCCATCCATTTAAAATTTAAACTATCAGCCATTTAAATGTTCTCATTAGCTTCTATCTCTTTAGTTCTGGGTTATAAAGAATCATAAAAATAAAGACACAGTATGGTATTTTGAAGTAAAGATGTAGGAACCCTGTTGTTTACTTAGCGACTGAGGAAGTTGGCTTGGCTCGCAAACAACCGGTTGCCGTCTAATGGTTGTTATGGAAACCTGTTGAATCCTAATGCCTCTTTTCCGTTGAGCGGTACGGCTTTGGTCAGTGCAGTTCGGTACCCTGTTTTATGGTCCGGTGTATTGAGGAGAGCATTTTTGGCAGTGACCTGCCTTGTGGCAAGATAAAGTTGGATCCTCGTCCAGCCTTGTCAGTCACAGTTCTAGTTGTTTTAATTATAGCTCTTAGTGTAAGTTTGACCAGGTTTTAGCAATCAGCCATTTTCTTGCGAACATTTCCTGACTAATAAAGATTAACACCCGTCCGGTTTACTAAAAATGCCTTGTTCTCCTCTTGTTCCCACTGTGAAGAGTTTATAAAACAAAACAAAAAAAAATAGGCTACTATGTCACATCATATTTATTCACCGGGGAAACAAAAATGAATCCATAAGGTAATAAACTCCTAGACACTTATCAATTTACTAGAAGAAAATTGTTTAGAAAATAGACGAATATTGTTTTATTGTTTTTTTTTTTTTTACATCTTCACCAGGGTGGCTAATAATTATAAAGGATGCTATATGAGTGGCAACATTGTAGTGCTGAATAAACTGAAACATTGAACCAAATTCCAGTATTCAGATGTAGAAAAAGTGATTTTTACCTTTAAGCCTGAGGCGCATCGATCCTAGGACTAAGTGTGACCTTCCTTCTCAGTAATTCACATTAATTCTAACATGAGTAATTCCAAACATGCATCTACCCGAACTGTCAAGCCATCAAAGCTCAGGCGCCCACAGTCCTTCAAGCAGACACGTCTGCTGACTGAAAGTTAATCACACGCCTCCCTCCACACACTCAGGAACTCTCTTTAAACTGTAGCAAACACTGCTGTAATGCTCTTCCCACTGAATGAAAATATCCCCCTCCCTCCTTTTTTTTTTCTTTTAACTGGAACCCCCTAGTGATATTCTGAGCCCGTAATGTCACTGCTCATCAGTCAAGCGTAGGAGGGAAGAGCTTTGACTATCTGCTGCCTGTCACTGCATGTGTGTGAAGCTTTCAGAAGGACCCCGGGGTGTGGGCTCACTTCCCAGCCATCCTAACCTCCCCCCACCCCCTCTCCTCTCCCCACACCTTTCGCCGCTACCCATCCAGCTGGGGAACCTGAGCTACAGATCCTCATTTTTGACCTTATGCTCCCTTCTCCTGTGTCCTCCTGTTCCGCCAGGACACACGCAGCCTTTAAGCATGCACCTGCACACATTTGCGCTCCTGCATCGTCCACTTCCTCGTCCGTCTCCTCTGGCCTTCTACATAACCAGTAGTTCATTCAGTCAAATATCTACGCCTGAGCTTATTTTCATGGGAGCCCTCAAGCTACAGCTTGTGGAGAGTAACAGCACAGTATGGCTAATAAAAATCTGTTGCAAATAGCCATATTCTACTTTTCTGGATTGTCACTAGCATCAAAATTAACAAAAAAAAAAAAAAAACGTACATATTTCTTTATATTTAAACTGGAAAATATTTTTTTTTTTTTACAACTTGATTAAAAAAAACTGAGATTATTTTTTTATTATTTATGATTAATTTTCTTTAGCATCTGTAAAGTCCAGTAGATTTAAACATCGAGTACCAGACTAGTTATTGACAGGCAAGGGGACATTTGGCACTAGAACTAGGTGATATTTCTCTTGAAGATCAATATTCATGGGGTAGAGAATGCAACTTTCATGCAACAACACAACAAAATCGTGGTGAGATCTGCTGAGCCTGGACATAAAAGCAAATTGTACACCTCCAAATACAATCATGGCAATAAGACGGATGGATTTTGTTTCAAATGGAAAAAAAAAAAACCCACCACAATTGCGTGCCCCATCACACACATTTCATTAAACTCAACGATCCCACGTGTCGTTTCATATAAAATACCAAATGCATGAATCTTTAGTGTGCATCATTTCTGAGTTTGATAAATGCATAAAACAGTGGAGTACAGGAACAGACACGCCAATTAGCAGTCAAGAGATGACTTTTTTATGCTTGAACAAGAAGCAATCAGCTGAAACTGCTTGAAATAGCTGAGATACATTGTACGAATCTTGGCTGCACCTGGGAATCTGTAGTGTTTGAAACAAAGAACCTCAAGGCTGCATAATTGAGCATAATCCCCCGAAGTGAAGCATCACTAATCTTGCACACAAAGCAAAAAAAAAAAAAGTCAGGCGAGATGGATTCATTTTTCTCTTGCTGCTTTTGATTTAGTTTCTGGAAGTCTCAGTAATATTAAAACCTAAAGGTCTCATTCCCTAATGTGTTGCCGTTTCTTTCTTTTATTTTTTATTTTTTGCTGACCAATGGAGCAGCAAACCAGACAGGTAAGACTGCCAAAGAAATGAACAAGAAACAAACAAAAAAGAAACCTAGAACGTCTTGGTCAGTTTTTTTTTCTTTTGCATGTCGCTAATGAACACATCTTTCCCCTGCAAGAGAGGCATGTCGCACATGTAAGAGCGTTTTTTTTTTTTTTTTCTTTTAAACAGCAACAGGAAAAATCACAAAACTGGGCATTGTCACTGCACGGTTTTGAGCAAAAACACAGTTTTATGTTGTTTACACAAACATTTAAATAAAAAAAATGTGGAATAGCATCTTAAATACTTACACGTAAGAGGACAGCAACAGTTATTTATACTACTGCCAAAATAATCCAGTATTATGAATATTACTACAAGAAGAGTCTTAGCCATGATATTTATCAGTTACAACATGGTAACATACTAATACGTAAACGTATGTTGGCAGGTTATCTGCTCCAGCAGAGCCTTCAGTCAGCTGCTTAACAGACATTTACTTTGCCAACTGTAGTTTCAAAACACTGTTAGATTAATACAAATGTTAGTTTCCTCTTATTTAGTTTTGGCACCGTGACTGTTAGTTGTTTTTTTTTTTTTTAAACCAGAAATATTTAAACCAAGGTAAAAGTGACTTTCTTGTCATTGAGGGAAGAATGGTGGAGCCTTCATTGAGTGAGCTGACCAGCAGTGTGCAGGCAACAACTAGTGAATTGGGACATTGCTGCAATATTCAGTACTTGGAAGAACTGGAGAAATGTCTGTTGTTCTGACAGTTTCTCTTGCATGAAAAGATGTTGGAAGGCTGTTTGAATGGTTTGATGACATTTTTTTTTAGCTATTTTTAAACTTAACATTTCAAAACGCTGGAACGTCTTTTTACCAGTAACTGGTTTATACTTACACAAAAGATCCCTTTGAACTGAGGTATGTTATTTAGCATTCTTAGGATTTTAGGAGAATTTTTTTTATTTATTTTTCCTTCTTTGCTAAACTATTTCAGTCTGACCTATTAATTAAGACAAGGAGAAGCTAATGTGGTGACGACATGTAATATAATTTCTCAAGAAAACGTTTTTTGGACGTTTGCAACATCATTTGTTGCAATTTCTTTCGTCGAATATGAAAAACATACCATTGGAATACCTGGAAAGACGATGACACTTGAACATTTTCAAAAGTATTCACAAACTGAAAACCATTGTTGCAGTAGCTCTTGTGGTTGATTATGCTTAGTGTACAGTGGTCATAGTTGTGCACTTGTTAGCATTCTTGCCTTGTAGCTAAAAGGTTGTATCTCTACGTACCTCGCCTCTTACCAAGTGGGCATCTCAGGCTTGTGATTTGTGCATCAGATCAGGATATAGTTTTATTTGGGGGCTCGTCAAGGATACGTATATTTAACTTGTAATGACATCTAAAACAAAGCTGAAAACTGAATGGATAAGCATCAAATTAAAGGCTTTAATATCAATTTAAAAACTGCAATGACAAAAAGCAAAGAAAGGCTTACTTAGAATCTGACAGAGCAGGTAAGTTAATAAAATAAACTAGAATAAATCTGGTCTCCTTTTAAACAGAAGCCCAGATTTAGAGAAGCAAGGACAAAAAAAAAGATATCATAATTTGACTTTTTTTTAAATACACCCTTAAAGCTTAAATGCAAGAGTTTCCCTGAATCAACATTAAAACATTATGCCTAAGCACAAAAGAATAATCCTCAAAGAGCTGTTAGCTGAAAACCTGTACAGTAGATCAACTAAAGGATGATGTACTGCATCTCTCAGGGCCTATGTCAGCTCCCTGCTGGATTTTTTAAAATTATTATTGTCTTTATCTGCTGTAGTTACTTTTTTTTTTAATGACTTACACTTTTGTACTCATCTTGTCCACTTTCTTTGTTTTAAAGCAAATTATGGATTTTATGCTGAAAATGAATGAAAAAGCTGAAGTCCAAATAAAGACTAGTGAAGTTCTTCAGATAGCTTGGGGAAGTATTAAAGACCACTTTAAAAGATTAAAAATAAAGCATGCTGTGCAGGCTGTGCATAAGAAATAAGGACTGGTTTTGCACCGTGCCATATAATTAAGCATATGTACATTAACAAACTCTGGTTTCAGTATAATGCATATAAATCCTGGACCAAACAAAGCCTTCCAATTTTCTTAAAAGCTGAATGCATGACCTGACACTCTCACTGAAACGTGAACATTAAGCTTCACTAAGGATGGAATTAACCAGCTAGAAGCTATTGTACTGCAAGCCATTATACAATGAAGAGATGTTACTCAGACTTTCCCCTGTAGTCCTGCATGCCGAGAGAATGTAGTCCTGTCAGCTCCTTAATTACATATTTCCCCTCATTATTCATGCGACAACAAGGCGCATTTTGAGGTTATACAACAATAGAGAGAGAAAAAAAAAAAAAGGCATCTGTTTTCTTGGCTGAGATAATTTGAATTTGTTTTATATCCCGCAGAAAAAGAGCAGAAACCGAAGCCAGAAAAGGCAGCCTTCCAAACAGCAAAGAAATGCCTCTTCATCATCCGACTGATCCGGTTGAGCTCCGGCGTCTTAACTTCCAGACACCTGGTAAGTATTCCAGATCAAGCGTTGTGTGAAGAAGAAAAAACAACAAAAAACTGAATGTGCATCTTGGGAAAATAGTCTGAATGCCACTGATTGCTTTCTTCAAGGGAACAAAACCAAATATTCCTCTTCATCACCCTTTCTTGGTAAGATTGACACTGAACAAGGGAGCGTTTTGCACAAGAGGCAGTGGACAGGTGCTCTGAACAGACAGAGAGGGTCAATACTGACATGGGTCTCTCTGGAGACGCCTCGCTGTGGAAAATCCGGAGGCAGGAATGCGGGCTCGACACTTCAGTGGCATATGTCATCGCCGTCTGCATCTGCGTTGTACAGGTCATTACAGCTTGTCACGCTCACCCAGAATAGCACAGACCTGCACTGCAGGAGGCGAGCGAAATACGAAATTAATCACGGCTGTGTGAAAACCACGAGCTGGCGAGAGGATGACGAAACCCGTGTTTTTGCGGCTTCGAAGTCGTTCGCATTTTGTCGCATTCCAAACATGCTGAGATTTTATCTGATAAGCCGACACAAAGTAGTGCAATCAAACCTTGCAAGGTCGTTTTCAAATTATTTTCCTACAAAAGTTTTAAAAGTGTGATATCAATTTGTGTTTGTTCCGCTTTACACTGATACCCGTAAATAAAATCCAGTGCGAGAAGATGCACTTAGGAGTCACCAAGCCAACAACTGGAGTCCACCTGTGTTGAACTGATTCTTGATGGAGATTTGCCTTCCAGCAGGACAACACAGCAGCCAGAGCTACAATGGAACAGTTTAGATAAATGTGCAAAATTGACAACATATCCTGAAGAGTTTGCAGCTTTAATGACATGACGCCCATTTCAGACGCCATTCTACTTCATAATTCCATACTATTTTGTGTCGGTTTATCAAATAATGTCCCAATTAAATGCACTGGAGTTGCAATGTGATAAAATATGAATCCTTTGGCAAGATGCTGTATTACCAGGAAAGGAGACACACATTTTCTCCAGGGCCAAAAGTGGCACATTTTAATACAGTTTGACTTTCTTTGGGTCTGACTGCTTCAGAACGGGTGTTCAGACGCTGCCAATAAAGTTGTAATATGAAACACGTATTTTTCAGGTCAGCTAGCCCAAAAGGGGGATAAATTATCCCGGCAGGCTCATTTGTGCATATTCAGAAAAGCTCCGTTGGGATTTTAGGGCCATTACAGATCATTTTATCCAAGCAGGAGGAGTATTTTTACCTCAGCCTGGAACTGATTCCAACCATCCTTCCACTATTTTTCTCACCTCTCAAGCCGATCTTTTTTTTTTTTTTTTTTTACTTACTTAGAGCCAGTATCTTGGCTCTCTGAAGCTACAGAAAGAACCAAATATTTTTCTTCTCACCACAGGACCACTTTCCTCCAAAGCACTTCTACCTAAGAACACCTCTCTCTGCTGCACTTCCCCTCCTTTTCACCTCTTCACCCCTCTCATTGGACATTTTTATCTTAAGGATTCTTGATCTCTGAACGATGGCATGTCAGGAAAGGCACTCTCGTGGTTGCACCTCAACCCCTCTCCCTCCCCCCCAATCCCTTTAGTAAAAATGGATTTTGAGTGGCGGACTGCAATAAAGGCAGTCCTTGCAGTCGTTCGAAGGGATGTATAAGTGGGTGTGAAAACGTTGCAGCTTCCATTTGCTAATGCCCACTTGTGCCAGAAACCAGAATGAAACGTAGTGTCGCATAGAGCGCCAGGCGCCCAGCTTAGCAAAATAACACATCCTCTCTTCCGTCATAGCCACAGTGAAACACGTTGCTTTGGTGAACATCTCTTCCTGGACCTTTTTTTTTTCTTCTTTTATACAACCTGACTATAAATTATTTATACAGTGTAATTCTGCCTCGTGGAATCAAATCCATCTGAACTGCTGCAGCACACCAAGTCTGTTAAGTTGGTTTTAAATTATTACAAACTGGAGACGGCTCACTCGAGATTATTTTATCCTTGACGTAACTTTGTCACATAATACTACATTAAACCCAGTAGAGCCGTTGTGTGTGTATGCTTGAGATCTAACTTTCTAATACAATGTTCTGGATTCTGCTTTGTTCTTTGATGGCATGTGTTTTTTTTTTTTGTTTTTTTTTGCACCAACTGGGATTTCTAATCCAACACTATGGTGGGTTAAAAAAAAAAGTTTAAACTAATATAAACAAAACTCTTCTGTTTCTGAAAGCATATCTGCCCCGACACATACAACCCTAATTAGCTCTTACTTCCTCTGATGACGATCAGCTTGCTTTATTGCTAGGCTAACATTAGCATTTTTCTCCAGGTTTTGATATGACTTGTTGATAATTAAGTTTGTAACATATCTTTTTGGATATATATTCCACTATTTTTTATTGGGAAAAAAACTTACTGGAAAAATTGTCCTACTTAAATTTGTTGCTTTGTTTTAAAAATTATAGAAGCTAATGATCAGAGCTGCCCTTTGTGTAACCCTCCCACAAAGACAAAAACAGATGCCTCATGAGACCATATGCTTAAACACACATAAACATCATTCTAAAAAAAAAAAACAACTTAATTTTGTAGGGAAAATGCATATTTGTTCTGTGCAAAGACGACCATCAAGCCACCCGTCTTGCTGGCTAAGATTATAAATTGATGCCATCAGAATTTGAGGTCAGTCAGACGAAACCTCCTTTTAATAACACCAGTCATTTACAAAGGACTGGTGGCTTGATCAGTGCATCTCTACCAGTTACTCTTCAGAAATGTCCCTCCAGATGAAATTGGAATGAAGAATTTGTCTAATATTTATTATCTGTAATAAAATGTATTTTTAGTTGTGATTAATCCTTGTATACATAGTCTCTGTTCAGTACACTAAACAAATTATCAGATCATTCAGTCTACCTCTTCCCTGTGAAATTAGCACAGTGGCATCACAATATTTTGTATGTTGCTAATCTCCCATATAGTATAGACAAAATCAGCTATTTCTTATCCTTTTTCTACCTTTTGTCTTGTATTTTTTTTTAACTAAAAACAGTCATCACATTGCTGTGACGTCTATAATAAAGTTAATTTCACCCACATTTCCTCCACAGGTTCAGGTGCGCCCAGTCACCCCAGTAACCTCCATTTGTCAAGTTAGTTGTTCTCGATTATGCTTTTTGACATGACCCATAATCGTTTTCTTTAGCCTCAGTTCTTTCCTCCTTTTGTTTTTGCTAAGTCTTGTGTCCACATCCGCATCTAATTTATCACGCCGTTTAACACCATTGTCATCGCAGGAGGCAGAGTTTGAAATGACATCACTCAAAGCAGATGTCAGCAGCCTAACATTCAGCGTGTGACGTTTGTGTGTTTTGGGGGATGTTTGTGTGTGTCCGTGCACACGCTGTCATTGCTAACTACCCACTGCGGCGTTCTGTGTGAATAACGTTTTTCTCTCTCCATAGGGAGTGGGGGCTAAAGTGTGCTCGATGGCCTCTCATTGGCTTTTGTGTCTCTTTATTAGCATGGTCACTGCTTTGAGTAAAACAAACTAGCCTAACAAGATTCACTCTTCCACCTCCACCTCTTATAATCATATGCTGGTAATGGAGGCTTGTGCCTGAGCGATGATCGGTCCATCTTGTTTTTTTGTGACAGGTATGGCGAACCATCCTCCGATCCCCATCATGGAATTGGCCGATCACGTAGAGCGCCTGAAAGCCAATGACAACCTAAAGTTTTCCCAGGAATATGAAGTAAGTGTCAACTCTTTGTTATAGGTACAATTTAGTTAGGGTCAAAACTTCTTGTGGTTCTTGAGAGTCACTTAAATATTTAGGTGTAGTCACCACAAAAAAAAAAAAGAAAGAAAGAAAGAGAAAAAAAAACATCAAGAAGCAAAAGTACATGTTTGCTGTAAAGTTTGTATGAAAACATTAAGACCAATGGTGTTCCCAAAGGTTTTGGCCTTTGTTGAGTCAAGATCCTTCATAAAGTCAGTCAAACTCTGCTTTTCAAATAAAATATGTAAGAAGTCGCACAATGAGGACGCATGAAGAGTAAAACAAGCAAAGCATAATGTAGCCATCTTATGATATTACTGTAGAACCTAGAAGTCTAAAGCCCTTTGGGATCTTTTAGTTCTCCAACAATATGAATTAGTCCCGTATGCCAGTTGATAATTTAGCACTATGCCTTTCATAGATCCTTAAAATAAAAAAAAAATCTTCAAAAAAGGCCCCAGCTGCATTTGAAAAATAATTACCACTACCCTGTTCTGCCCGTCTCTCTGTGCTGATCATTCAGCTCCTCCATAATCTACGAGGTCACCTTGTGGGCCTCAAACTGCCAAGCTGCCAAATCATTAGTGCCGCTTAAGTACCTTTCTATTCCAATTTCATACTGCTTATTTCAGAGCAGTGGAAAGCAATTTTATGAGCACAATGTAATAAAGATTTTTATATTGTAAGCAACGTTGCAGCCCATTGTTTGAACATATTTTGGTAAAAATCAAACTGAGCCTGACTTTCCATGCCTTTGTTTAGGATAGATTTGGACAGGACATATTGATCAGAAAAATACGTCCTTGGGAGGCTAATGTTTGGGGTAATTGTGCTAAAATTAAAGGGTTTAGCTTGGCAGCTAGAGTACTGGAGATTTTTTTTGTTTGTTTGTTTCCTTTTGGAGAAACCTGCATCAACACTTTCTCTGGGATCCGGTTACAAAAGCTTGGTAATACCTAAGTTGTGCCAGTAGGGGGTGATAGCGTGAATACTAAATGCATCAAAATTCAACAGAAGAAATTCCTGAACATGGCCAAAGTAGATCTGGGCTGAAGATTTGACCTAAAGAGTTGAACCTCATAACGCAGGACATTTTTCTTACCGGCTTTGATAATCAGTGATGAAATGCAATTTTGTGACTCCATTAAACAATATTTACCAAGAGAAAGTTCATTGGTAATTTTAGTTTGACAAAGGGTCAAATTTCAAATGTGAAATTTAATGTCATATACATTTTTTCTGGGCTTAACAGGGATCAGAAACAAAACAAATGGAAAACAATATTGACTAAAATGATGATGATTATTCTTTATTAGTTTCTTATTCACTTAGCAGAGAAATAAGGTGGCGCACAGTCAATAATAGCCTTTATGAGAATGAAATTGTTTATGGATAAAATAACTGGAGTTCTCTGGAAGTAATTTGTCATTTAAAAAAATCTCTCCCAATGCAATTTGTGCATATTTTTTTTATATTTTACCTATTTCTTCTTTCAAAACAAAGGTAATCTTTAACTCAAAAAACTTTGGGCGTCAGTTTATTTCCACCATGGTAGCTCTTTTAAGCTTGAGGGCTTGCAATGGTTAGCATGGCTAGTGTAAGTGTAACTTTTCCATAGAGTAGTATTTCATTAATATTTCAAAGCCTTTCTGCTTCACTGTGTTTGTGCAGCTGAGAAGGCCTTAGAGCAGCACAAAAAAGGAAAAAAAAAAATCAATATTATGCATAGCAGAAGCACATAATGTACGTTTTCAGCTTTTACTCTCCAACAAACGTGCTATTAGAGTTGGCAAAAGCTAAAATAGGATCTGGGGTCAACTGAAACATCAGACATACCAGGCTGAAATATTTATAAGTGCTTTTACTTTGAAAAAAAAGGAAAAAAATCCCCCACATTCTAGCTAAACAGGATCTGGACAGTATCTGAATGCATAAAACCCTGTATGGCCTTGCATATACTCTAAAAGAAATGAATTAAACATTTGTCAAAAATATCAGATCCAACTTTCATTTGCATTTTTTTTTTTTTTTTTTTTTTTTTTTTAGGAGAATTTAAGAATGTGGAAACCTCCTAAATGTCAACAGTCAATGTTCTCTCATGTAATTTTTATTCATCTTGTGTCAAAACTTTTTATTGTGGTAACAGTGTGATGCTCTTCCCCTTGCCAGTCCATTGACCCCGGTCAGCAGTTCACCTGGGAGCACTCCAACCTGGAGGTCAACAAACCAAAGAACAGATACGCCAACGTAATTGCCTACGATCACTCCAGAGTCCTACTCTCAGCTATCGACGGTACGTCTCCCTTCCTAACTGCTGCACTGCTTGTAGTGATAACCCATAGAAACATGTTTTAAAAACCTCCTGGGCATTTTTACACTGTTAAATTTCATTATATTCATAGATGAATATGAGTGGCGGCTCATATAAGAAACCCCGGTACATAACAGTGATGTTTGTAGTAAACATTACCTGTTCATTTGTGTTTCTGTATTTTTTGCCAACAAAAAAAACAAAGTAGATTTGACAGGAAATGCCATTTTATAACATAAATATACAAAAACAAACATATGGCAAATTTGGCTGCAGCTCAAATGTCTCATTGTGACAATTTGCCATGTTATATAGTCAGAATAAAATCTTGGTGCAAATTTTACTAAAGTACATTGTTACACAAACTGGTAAAAAATGCTTGTCTAAGAAATGTCAGTTGACTGCAGTTCAAGAGTTTGTAGCAATCCCACCTCCTGAGCAAGCATTGGAGAGGAACCCGTCCCTTTAAACCCGTCCCTTTAAACGGGAAAAGCCTCTGTTCTGGAAGTGCTGCACTTCCTGGTTCTGGAAGTGCAGATGGTCAATTGCTGTGACAGGAGAATCCACAATGTTGATGACAGCAAAATCTGAGTCAATATCTTTGGGCAGGAGATAAATACAGCTACAAACATGAGTACTGGATTACCTCAAGAGAAACACATACTTTAAGACATACTTTTCTAATCAGAGAAGTTATGTCAGTAATTTTGTCCAGGAGAGAAATTAAATTAAACACAAAAGCACTGAGCAATGAATGCTTTCTTTTATCAGGAGTGCTGTTTATAAAAAAATAATACAACTGACTTAATGGTAACAGTATCTCCATAAGAGCTTTTTTTTTGAGATGTACTGTTTCTCTGAAAAGAAAGCTCACAAAGTTATTAACAGCAGTAGCAAAAATCCAGAGAAGAAAAACATGACTTTCTATTAAAAGAGTGTTCAGTAAGTCAAAGGCAATATAATCTCTGTCAGTAGCATCCATAGAGAAATTCAGCTACTTCTGGACCAGATACACTGGACCAGGAGTACTTTCTATCTAATTTTGCAGGAAAACCTCCCATCACAAATACACACAGAGCCAGAGATATATATATATATTTTTTTTTTTTTACCAAGTATACTCTCTACGAATGAATGATTGAATCAATAGTCTTCCTGTACAGCACAAAAAGGACAATTGTTGGTGTGAACAGGCAAAACTTAAGCTGCAGTGTTAGAGGGAGGAATGAAATGACATCTATAACGTGTTGCACATCAGTGCTCCCTGTACATGAAAAGGCCTTTCTGAAACTTTCCCTGCAAAGTACTAACTCATTCATCGGTTTACGATTAAACACAACTGCGCCCACACAAACACACACACACACACACACACAAAGCTATTAATTAAGCATTTCCACTCAGCTGCTCCCATGGAAGAAAATGGGAAAATAAATAAAATAGTAAATGGATAAAGTGACTTAGAGAGCATCTTTTTTTCCAGTCTATTAGAAACCGCCCACAACTTAAAAGTGTTGATGGAGCTCCATTAGCGAGCCACTGGAAAAAAAAACAAAAAACACATCTGCTGAAGACACTGCTGCTTTCAGATGGACACGAGAGACGATTCTTAACAAAAGCATTTTGGCAAGCAGTGCATCTGTTTCTTTATGTTCTCTGTGCAAACTAGTCCACAGAGAAACAAACAAAGGGAATTGACTTTAGAGTTTGAAGTTAAAATTTACATATGTGGACATGATTCGGCAGGATCTCTGGAAAACAGGCGTTCTGTCTGCGATGACTTCACTGTATTTACTCAAGATGTCTGAACGCATCCATCAAGTTCTGCTGAATTAAAGTTGGCTAGCCTTCATTAGTTTATTTAGTTCTACTTAAACCCCGTAAAGTTTATAGAAGCACTTTAATTCATTGAATACCTATCAAGTTTATTATTTCAGTAATCCCTATTCAAACGAGGACACATCTTAATTTTGATGATTGTGGCTCACACGTAGGGCTGCACAATGGTGGCAAATCATACAAATCAATTGTTAGGGAAGTATTGTGGAGACAATATCAGTTACAATAAATCCACATCTTCCTCACTGCTGTGGTTTCTCATCTTTACTTCCAAACAACTCTGTGACATTTACCGTCCAGGAGACTGTAATCTGTGTCAAAAGTGTGCAACAGCTGCAGTGACATTCTGCACACCAGTGTCATATTCAGCCTCCTGGACAAGGTGCAAACTCATGAAACGTTGAGTATATTTGCCAATAAATATCGTACTCCAGAGTTCTTTGCAATATTAATACTCTAAACAGATGAAAATATAATGGCAACAAATTAGAAAATTAGAATGAGGGCAATAAAGTTTAATACAAAAAATGTGCTGGCCTTCACACACACACACACACTGCTAACTCTACTGTTGGCGACTCCACCGCAAGGAGTCGCCAACAGTATTTATTTATTTATTTTTATTTTTAAAAAATAAAAATAAAAAAATCTAAAAAACAAGCCGAAATCTGGAAGTAATTATCAGACCTTCAGTATGTTCTTCACGATACCTTCATCTTCCTCCAATGAGGGTCGAGTGCCAGCTGAGCTACGCTGCAAGAACATCAACGTTTTAACGTCTTAATGGCTGCATTGACTTAGAAAATGGAGAAATTTACACAAATCCTGAGTGACAGAAGGAATAAAAGAAAAATCCATTTGCAAATGTACATTTAACCAACTCGCCTCATACTCATTAAACCACCGTAATGTCTCTGTTTGTTTTTGGGTTTTTTCTTTTTTTTTTTTTTCCTTTTCAAATTGAGAACGCCCAAGGCTTAATTGTACTTATCCCTTGTCCATCACAGAAATGCACAGCCGCTTGTTTCTGTGTGGACGGCTTCAGCGAGGGTGGGTGGGAGAGTAGAGAGAGAAAAAAAACAACAAAAAAAAACAATGTGGGTGGGTTCTTTTAATGTGTTCATATTCCATTTTCTTTCTCTTTTACACTGTTGAATGAGTTACCTGAGAGTAAAAGGAAGTCTGAGGGAGAGGAAGCAGCTGGAGTGAAGTGGAGGGGATGAGGAGAGGGGGGAGGGTATTTCTCTGAGACGTGGCGCCCATGCAGATGAGACTTATCTTGGTCGACCATGTGTGCACGGAGCCCCTAAACTGCCAGTCCTCAAGCATTGACTAGCTGTCAGCTCTGTCTGTTTTGCCTGGATTCGAAAAGGCTGCTGCGCCTTTCATTTATTATAAGCAAAGGGAAACGGGAGAGCAGAGCTGGGGGAAAATTGTTTTGCTACTTTCTCGCCGGTTTGTTTTTCTCCGTGTGAGACCGAGCTTTATCTGTAAGTCAGTTGCAGATATGGAATAGGGAAATGTGTTGTTGATAGCAAACACAAATCCCTTCGGACGGGTAACACTGCCTCCCATCCCCCCACCACACACACCCCCCCCAAAAAAAGGAGCGTTTGTGCTGCGTTGCTTACAGCAAACATTAGTCTGACTGAAATCATTTCAGGAAAAGCATTAGAAAGTCTGACGATGCACTAAATAGGCACAGTGATGGAGCTGTATGGAAAACAACAACTTACACAAACTTCAGGATTTCTGTACAGTCTGGAAAAGTTGACATCCCGTTTACTTTCTCTATGAAACTAGTAACTTTGCTTTCCGTCTTTAAGGAATCCCTGGAAGTGACTACATCAACGCTAACTACATAGATGGCTACAGGAAGCAAAATGCCTACATCGCCACCCAGGGAGCGCTGCCGGAGACGTTTGGTGAATTTTGGAGGATGATATGGGAGCAGAGGAGTGCCATCGTTGTCATGATGACCAAACTGGAAGAGAGGTCGAGGGTATGGGACAAAAACGGACACCTGTTTACATCAAACACAACACAGTTCTACTAATCATAAAATAAGGCCTTCCTCAACTCTCACATTATGTTGTTCAATAGTTTTGACTCATTGTGGAATATAGATTATTGTGATCAGGAAGAGAAAGTTTTAACTTGTGTTCACACTCTTTGTAAAACATGTCATTTTAGCAGATAATGATCCAGTTCATGCTTGTTGAGGGAAAGTATTTTAAAGCTTAGAACTTCTGGTGATAAAGTTTTTCCCTGAGAAACAGTGACATGACAATGAGCAGGAGTCTGTCAAAAAAAATGTGTTTTCATTACTTACAAAACATTCTGACATTGTCAGTCACTTTTTTAATGTTTATTTTGATACTCAAATGCTGCCACACAAATAACTGAAGAGTGGCAGGAGCTGCCCCGATGCCAACATAGCCAAAAAGTCATGCTAACCGCACCAGAACTGCAGAATTTCTCTAAACAATAAAGATCGCTATAAATATCGTTAATGTTGCTAAATCTTGTTAAGCCCATAGTAATTTAAAACAATTGAGAATCACTGCTTTGTAGTTAACAGTGTTTTGTTGTTTTGTTTTTATTTCATTGTTTTGTCAAATATTACTAAACGGTGTGCTTCGTGCTGGTGCCATTTGGCTTAAGAGTCTCATAGGACTCCTGTTAGGAAATATGATGATGATAACTACTCTTAAACATACTCCTTTGAGCCAATCAATACTTTAAATAACTCTTCAGGAGCTTGGTTATTTCGTCCCCGGCTGCGGCCGTGCTTCTCTTTGTCTCTTTGTCCAAACGCAGCAATTCAAGTGTTTTATTCGACACAAAGAGACCAGAGTGGCAATAAAGCAAAGACGCTAATATGACTGGACGTTGTGTTTAAATTCGTAATTATAGATTAAGTCATGGCAATTAATGGCACTGCTGGCTGCATGCAAATATCTCAGGCCATTTCATTGATTGGGAAATTAAAGCCAGTCAGCAGGAATGAGGGGCGAGGAGGTCAACGTTTGTTTTGTCCATTGTTTGGCTGTGCAAAGTGGTCCTACAAATATCAGCATTACTTATTACATTTTGTTTAGTAAAAAGCAGAAGGTTCGAGGTTTGGTATTCACTATTGTGATTTTACGGTATAGACTAATTCAAAGTAGAGCATAATAATTAAATAGAGGCAAGATACTGTAATAAATGGTATAAATAGTCATTAAAAAAAACCTTAGACGTGTGGCATACAGTGTATTCATTATCACTTACTTTGAAAACCGATTATAATCCACCTGTCTCAGTCCCCAATCGGTCAACAAAGTTCAACAGTCTAAAATGTAATCTTAGTAGAGCTCTAGCTACATTAAGATTATCTCCAGACACAAAGCCAGTTGTTAATCTGTGGTCAGCCTTGACTTGACAGGCAAACAAAGAACTGCGATTTTGAACAAGAGACGCACATTTCCAAAAAATAAGGTTTAAATCCATGGATTCTTTTCCTCTTCACAGTCACGCACTACATGGCGTCTAAACATGGGACTGATTTACCTGAGATCTGTGTATCCTGCAGGTGAAATGTGATCAGTACTGGCCCACAAGAGGGACAGAGACCTACGGTCTCATCCAGATAACGTTGCTGGACACAGTAGAGTTGGCCACATACTGCGTCCGGACGTTCGCACTTTTTAAGGTGAGGATTTGCGAAGGTTTTTTTTTTTTTTTTTTTTTTTTTCCCCCCTGGCACAAAATGCGTTAGTCACTTCCGTTTGTTATTTCAGAACGGCTCCAGTGAGAAGAGGGAGGTGAGGCAGTTCCAGTTCACTGCCTGGCCAGACCACGGGGTACCGGAGCACCCCACGCCGTTCCTCGCCTTCCTCAGACGGGTGAAAGCTTGCAATCCTCCAGATGCGGGGCCCATGGTGGTGCACTGCAGGTGGGGAACATCACAGTTTTACAGAAACATCCTGAAGCATGAAATTGATTTCTTTCCTCTCCATTTGCCGGAATGAATAAATGAATACATATGACAAAAAAAAATAAAATAAATAAATCACTTTCTTTGTTAGTAAAGGCTCATATTTGAGTCATTTGTGTACTGATATCTAAAATGCATTGCATAGCAGCCCCAAAAAAGGCCATCTAGCCACATTTCCCAGAAAGCACTCAAACTTAGAACGTGTTTGCAACGTCGTACCACGAGTACCAGCTACATTTCCTGCAGCGATCCTCCCACTCAGAGAGACAGATACAGGCTGACCTGTCATCATGCCTTTCCTGCATCAACAACCCACCAGTCTGCTCATCTCATTTGGGTTGATACACCCAGAACTCGCTCACCAACCATCAGCTACATGAGCAGCGGGGCTTCCCATCAGTGAGGCGCCACACAGTAACGGAGTCTTCTGGATTTTCTTAACTCTCACACTCATCGTGGGGGTGTGGGGATTAGGAAGTGGTGACAGTGTAAAAGATACCAACTTTTATCAAAGTGACAAAAAAGGAAGAAGGATTACTGTAGAATTACCACATGCTGAAGTTAATTAGTGCTACTTGCCAAAAAGCCCCCCCCCCCCAAAAAAAAAAAAAAAAAAAAAAGACTTTAAAGTCTGAAGGAAAATGTGGGAATTAATGTCACACTGCAGATTGGGGTTTTAAATTTCTCTGGCTTCCCATCAGATAGTCGTGTCCACCATCCAAATCCCCAATCAGGGCCTTTTTATCATTCTGTGTTTCATGTTAAATAGAAGAAACTGGTATATTTACATGCTTGCAGGACACCACAAAGCTAGTGTTGTGGTTAAGCTGTTAAAAATAGGATAAAAGTGCCTATTAATTTAGTGTAGATCCTCCTGCTGAAGCTGTTTGTGCACATGCTGGAGGCTTAAAGCATAGCGAGGAACAAAAATGAAGCGTGAATGCCAGTAATTTACAAACAGGACATTCGCACGTGGACGATGGACGTAGATGAATATCCATCTGACGAAAACAGAGCTAAGAAAGTTCATACAATTATGTCTCACATCCTTATCCAGAATGGACTTTAGTGGATGGGTTAATATGAAGGATGTACATAAAAATGCATTTTTGTTGCAGCATCCACTTTCAGGAGTGGGTTTGCCATGCTTCCTTTTTACAGTGTTTTATTTATATCTACTCTATATATAAATAGCTGACTTAGATATATATACTCTAAGTCAGCTCCCAGTTGGTAGATGAAAAACTGAAGAAGAGACATTGTGTGTGTGTGTTTTTTCCTTAAGTCTTTAGAGTACTAGAGTAGACAAATGCAAGCAAATATCCGTTAATACAATTTTTAATATTCTTTTGGACACTTAAGACTGAATTGTGGTTTTTATTTTATTTTTTTTCTCAAAATGATGTTACTATGAATGTTCTTCCTGCCTAGATATACATCTGTTTTGTTTCATGTCCCGATTCCTGTTTGAAAGAATAGCACTGCTTTTCCTAGATAGACATGGATGCTGTTTTGATTTCATGACTTTCTAGTAACAGTTTTTATACAATGGGACAAAAAGTTAATGATGAAATCTATACTGTCTCCTAGTGAATGATGACAAAATAAGCAAGGTATGCTGTTATGCTTGTAGTTTTTTGCTATAAAAACGACGCCGCTGGACTGAATCGATCCGCACTTTTGCACATAGCCAGGTATAACAGACGATCATCAGAGCTGGCTTCCCTACAACCAAAAGACGTAATGCTCCGTGAAATCCCAGCTTCACTGACAGGTTAAGCAACATGGGGGAAACATTCCCTGAGGAGAAGATTAAACATAGCCCCTTTTATTTCCGTTAAAGCCGAAAGATTTGACACGATCTCAGAGGCAAAATCTCCTAAGGCAAAAGACCAAAATCCACTGTTGTTCCCAAAATGCTCATCAGGGGGAAAAAAAAGGGGAAAAGGACAGCATGTGGAAAAGAACTAAGAAAAATTAGCATCCTCGAAGAGTTCTTTTTTTTTTCTTCCTGCCACAGTTAAATGTTTTAGAGAGTCACATAATCATGCCATGAAGTAATGGTGAAAACTGGCAATCTACATGACTTTGAAGGAATTTTGGCCCAGTCTTTCTAGAACTGTTTCGTTTCACCCTCACAGTGAGATATTCAGAGGATGTCTCAAATAGTCAGATTCTAGTTGTTCCTGCAGTAGGGTGTGTCCGTAACCCCCCCACCCCCCAAAGGAACATCAGGTGTCAAATGTAATATATAAATTAATTTGAAAACGGCTGTTTGCATTTAGTTATCTTTGTCCGATATTATAATCTGTTTAATCTGAATCATTCAGCTGGATAATCAAAAACAAATCGTATGGTTTTAAAATTACCGTTGCATAAAAGATACCAGTCACACCAGTTTTGCTCACAATTAAATACATTTTTTTTTTAAAAAACACCTTAGTTTAGGTTAAAAATCATTTAATGTATAAATTTTGTTCACATACACTTGAGTAAAAGCTAACCCTCAACTTGCCGTTTAATTTATTATATGTGTGGATGTTTTTATAGACAGAGCAGAAAGAAAAAAAAAACAGTGACAGGCCAGCTGACAGCCAGAGATTTGCCAACAATACATATGTAATTGCTTTTACTGCTGCTAATGCTTTATCTTCACAGGACCCGTTGCAGCTGTGCTATGTGCTGCTTTTTCCTCCCCTTCCCACCCCCGTATTCCCTAAACTCCTGGAAAGCATATTAGCCTGACACTTTCGCGCGCGCGTATGTGTGTTTTGTGTGTGTATGCGTGTGCGTGTGTGTGTCGACGTCCGAGGCGGCCGCTTTTGAATAGCTGAAAAGGCAGTGTCAGGTCATTAGCGTGGTCAGTGCGCCAGCTCCCCTTTAACTGCCAACCGTACTGACAGCTTTCTGCACCAGCTCACCCCGACACCTCATCACTTCTCCAAAAAAGAAAGGAAAATTACACTCGCCTTTTGTGGTCTTACACTTAGAGGGAGAAAAAAAAAAAAAAGTGTAGCCGATGTGTATTTCTGCAGCTCAGTCTTTAGAAAAACTAACTTGAGGGCGACACGAGTTCAAGATGAGTGTCTTCTCCTCACCTTCCTTTCCCATTCCTCATCTTCCTCCGTCTCCGTCCGTCTAGCTCGGCGCTGTCACTCTGTCATTTACTCTCTAGCAGGTCATCACTCTCCCACATTCCGGGCTGCTCAGAAAAATGTTTTCTGCTGCAGCAAAGGAAGAAATCTATAGTTTTTTTTTCTATCCTTACACCCAAGGGGTTTTAGGTGTTTTCAGACCTGGAAGTGACTCATTCCTCAGATTGCTCCCCTGGGATACATTTACATTTCTTTAGGGCCCCCACCAAAAAAAAAGCTTCCCCTTTCACTCAAGTTCACTTTTTAACTTCACCCTGGAGCAGTGCCTTTTTCGTGTCAAAAAAGGCAAAGAAATAATTCGCTTTCATCCATTTTGAAAGTGATCATCAGATCATTTGCTGTAGCCAGCGACTCCCATGTGTGTCTTTATGCCGTTTGCAGCAGCACGGTTTCTCTGCTGCAAGGCACATTAACTACACTCGGCCCCGGGGGACCAGCTTCGCTGCCTCTTGAGCTCCCCTACTCAACCTATTCTGTTTCTCGCTGCAAATGAAAAACAAATGCCTCTTCAGGAGGAGTAGGAAGAGGAGGAGGAGGAAGGCACACGGGGGGCTGCCTCGCACCTCATAGACACGTACACCAAATGAATTGGATAACCTATTTGCTTTTGTGTGCCAAGTGCAAGGACTTGACTTGTCAAGGCCAAGCGCCGTGTGAGGTGGAAGAAAAACAAATGAAATGTACAACATAATGTCTTTCCCTTGCAAAGGTGTTCGACTTTATTTTCTCATGGCTTCTGTGCTGGTTCAACGTAACGTGAGGCGTAACTGTGACATGCATGTCAAATATTACATGGCCGATGATAGTTTTTACAAACAAATAAATGGAGACTGAATTTGTTGTAGTTTATGGACCGCTCTAGCTCCTACCCACGCTTTTTTTTTTTTTTTTTTGCAATGGCTTCATCAGGCTGATGTCAGATCTCCACCACACCGAGACGTTTTATAGACCAAAATGTTTTAATTTCAGTCTAATCAGACCAGAGGACCAACTTTCTATTATCTCTATGGCTTGTGGCAGTCTTTACATGGGTTTTCTTGCGTCAGCTTTTTTTTTTCTTGCCACTCGTCCTTAAAGGACAGATTTGTTGAGTGCAAGTACTTGACGAATGTTTTCCCTGCGCGGCCTGTAAATGTAGGTAGATTGGCAGATTCGTTTTTAAATGATGGCTTTTACTTTCCGTTTTGAAAGTTTTGGGAAGTAGGTTGTAAAGGAAGGAAGTAGGGGTCATTTACTGCATGTGTTCTCCTCTTCCTCTGCTCTTCTTCTTGCCCAACTAGACCACTTCAGCCACAAAAACCTTTAAAAAAATTGTTTTTTTTAAAGCTGCTCTTCACTCTCAGCCCTGTTCTGCCTGAGGTGCTCGTTCTTCTTCATGATTTTGTTTGTTCACTAATGTCCTCTAACACTACTCGGCTCAGCTGCTTTTGAAAGCAGTTGGTTGCACTGGATTTTATTAAGGTTCAGACCCAGCCCAAAGTTGTATGGGGCCTTATGCAGAATTTTGATCTTCCTGTAAAGACGTCACTATGATTTTGGAGAGGGGGCTGAGCCTAAAAGCAGTGACAGATAACTGTTTGTTTGGTTTTTTTTGCAGGCATAAAAAGTAAACTTTGCTGAAGATGAAATAAGTCATACCTTCAAATATCTGGTCTGTTGAGGAGGCTGCGTTTATCCAGTGCTTCTGAATCTGGCTGCAAGGGCAGGTCAAAGAGAAACAGTAAAACAACTTTTTGTTTCCACTTGTGCATTTTGCACATTAACGTAAAAAATGCGGCAGTATGAATCTTAATGAAGAGACCTGCGTTTCAGTGCCTCCTAATAAGCCCTTCTGCTGTTCAGGTGCACTGTACTAATCTAATAACCCTAATTGTAGTCAGCTGCACTTGTCCAGAGTTGTCCGTCGCCAATAACGAAGCCGGGGAAACGGACGTTCCTCTCATGTTTGCTGCAGTGGATCACATTTACTGTAGTGGCACTTTTCTGAACCAAGAGATAAAGGTGGAACATTTCTGTCGCACAAGTGCATTAAGTTCTGATCAGGTGAAGAGCACAGGTGGGGTCTAGAGGCGAAACAGTTTGGAGCCTGCTGCAGGCTGAGTGCCAGCCCAGCGCCACTTCAGATTCAATTACGGTACAAGTTTAATGGCTCATTGTACAGGAGAAAACTTGGTGGAGAGTGTAACTTTTGGCCTTTAGTCGGAGAAATAAAAGATGCCTCTTCCTCTGCTACTGGAGATCAGGCCTGTCACATGCATGATGTGCTTACAAAACTGCCAATTCAGTCCACTGTCCATGTTAAACCAAATCCAGTTTCAGTACATTTGCATTCAAGGATATTGAGTTTCTTTTAATTTAAATAAGCATTTAAAAAAAAAAAAAAAAAAAAAGCGTTTAGCAGGAAATACAAATGTTTACGATCACCTCATACAAGAAGACTTGGAATTTTGCATTATTTTCCCAAAAAAAGGAACATCGGTTGTCATAGGACGCAGCTGAAAATGTTTAGCCTGTGATGTATTTTAGCTTTGGGCATAAAAAACAGATTTTGAAAATTTGCCAAAATTTTCAAAATCTTGAAAATGTTGGCACATAGATTATGAATGCATGGCAAATGAAATGGTAAAGAATTGCAAACATCACATCCAATTGGATGTTTTTTAATTATTACTTTTTAATATATTTTGTACACTGAAACTGCAAAGATGATCGTATTGTAGCTGGAAACCTGAGACAACAGCAAAAGAAATCACCTTGGGGGGGGGGGGGACATGAACTTTAATTTCCCAGGAAACAAAATACAGTACCGTAACATCTCCCATAAAAAGTATCTGACAGCATACCTCTGATTGTTGTGATGACAGTGCCGGGGTGGGCCGCACCGGCTGCTTCATTGTGATTGATGCCATGCTGGAGCGTATCAAGCACGAGAAGACCGTGGACATCTACGGACACGTAACGCTGATGCGCGCCCAGCGCAACTACATGGTGCAAACAGAAGACCAGTACGTCTTCATACACGACGCGCTCCAGGAGGCCGTCAACTGCGGCACGACCGAAGTGCCCGCCAGAAACCTGTACGCCTACATCCAGAAACTGACCCAGATAGAGGGCGGAGAGAATGTCACTGGCATGGAACTGGAGTTCAAGGTACAAATCAGAAAACGTGTCGTCCCAGTTCTGTTCTGTATTTATCTCTAGATATACGTTTCTGTTTGCATATGAAGAGTGGGGCTTCTGGTTTCCTCTTTGATTTAACACAACATATAATAAATCTTCACCTTCTGGGTCCTCTTTTTTAGGAACCACTGTTTTGGTTTACATAAAGTTTCTTTCTGCCATAGAATGTAAGCAACAAATGTAGCAGTTTTCAATCAAGCTGTTTCTATTGTACAGCTGATTTTTTTTCCCCTTTTTTTTTATCTTGCTTAATGATGGTGAGCATCTTTGTTACCAGATTAACAAGCTATTTAACCATACTGCATTAAGATTAAGCCACTGTCATTGACTTCCCATTTCAATTAAGTTTGGTTTATTTATAAAGAACAAATTCACAACAAATATGTTAAAGCACTCTTCACAAATCAGTCATTTTCATTTCTATGCAGTCTAGTCATATAATACATCCAATCCATTTCAGAAAAATTCAGTTGATCGTTTTAACAGTAATTGATTAAAGTCAAGAAAGCTCTGCTGATGGTGTCAAGTCCGACTTTCGAGAAATTCTTCATCCTGGGCAAGTATGTGGTAAGGGCGAAGATATCCTCCATCAGAACCAGGCTCTTAATGAGCAGCCATTGAGAAACCAGGAAGAAGACATAGAAAGGAGCAGTGTAGAAGCACTTTCTATGGGAAACGGAAGCAAAACATACACAGCAATCGTTCTGTCAGGGGCTTCATCCAGGATAGACGGACTGCTAAAGTCAATGGAAGAGAGAGTTCAGCATAAAACCATTGAGTTGAAAAGACTGTAAAGAAAAATAATGGCAGCAGTAACTCCATTAATGACTGCACAGCAACGAAGCATTGAATTAGGAGCACTTTATAGCAAAGGAAAAAGAGAGAAAGCACAAAAATATGAACAGTATTTAGATATTTCTCTTGTAGTGCACCCTTGACGTCAAACGCAGCCCGTCTCCGGGGAAGCATCTGTCGTCGCATGCACCTATCATTTTGACGCTCATTAAGTTCTCCGTCTCTCCTTGCCTTCGCAGCGCTTAGCCAACACTAAAGCTCACACGTCGCGATTCATCAGTGCCAATCTCCCCTGCAACAAGTTTAAGAACCGCCTTGTCAACATAATGCCATACGAGTCCACACGAGTGTGTCTTCAGCCCATCCGAGGAGTGGAGGGCTCGGACTACATCAATGCAAGCTTCATTGATGGATACAGGTACAATAATTCAATTAAAACTGAGATTTTTTTTTTTTTTCGAAGTTATGCTACATCTGATTGTTTCCTCCAGGCAACAGAAAGCTTACATTGCAACACAGGGACCGTTGGCAGAGACCACAGAAGATTTCTGGAGAATGCTCTGGGAGCACAACTCCACCATTGTAGTCATGCTGACCAAGCTCAGAGAAATGGGCAGGGTAATTGATACTTCACTCCAAAAGCCTTTGTTCTGACAGCTTTATAGGAAAAGAAAATATACAATTCAATGCATAAAATATTCCATAAATCTCCTGTGAAGAGGAATGTTGTGAGTCACCGTGGTCTGCTTTTCCAGGAAAAATGTCACCAGTACTGGCCGGCAGAGAGGTCAGCCAGATACCAATACTTTGTGGTGGACCCCATGGCCGAGTATAACATGCCCCAGTATATCCTGAGAGAGTTCAAAGTGACTGATGCCAGGGTAAGCAGAGATTGCTTGTAAACTGAATGTTGAGGATTAAAACTGATCCAAGTCTGGGTCGTAACCCGTCTTTGACTCCGCAGGACGACCGGATCGCCTAGAGGTCAGCTGGAAGATGATACCGCTTTTAGTCGCGCTGCTCTTTAATTTGGGCCTCTGGTGCAGCAAATGTCTAAAGGCAGAAAAGCCCACACAAATAATTACCAAAGTATCAAATAATACAGTTTCCCGATTTTTAATTAGCTGTAGAGGTTTAGAAAAAAACAAGGTTGAGGACTGATTTTAATTACCCAGATCTGTTTGGATTAGTCATTACATCAACACATTGGCATTTTCTCAAATATTTGTTTACACCAGCTTGTGGCCTTAAGTGCAACAGAAAAGTAAATCCAAATTTGTGCAAATCACGACACTTGTCAGAGTGTAATGAAAAAAACAAAAAAAAAAAACAAGCTAAAATGCGAGTGGTGCCGGCAGCAGTGAACTGCCATAGTTTTTAATTCCATCAAAGGCTCAGACAGATAAATGGTGCAGCATCCCGCCTTTGTGGAGCGTGTAACACTCTCGTCAATGGGATTGGTTTCCTTATCAAGGGGGTAGAACATCACTTAAGCAATGCACACCCTCGAACTAAAACTCTCCCCCAAAACCTGTCAAAAGCCGCACATCAAAGCAATCAGCATCTTCAGCGGGTGTATTAAATACATTTGGGTGTAATAATGAAAGGCTTTCTTTGATGCCACCTTTGCGGCGCATTTTCAGGACTAACGTTTAGTCGCTGAAACCCAAACGCTTCGACGCCACATGGGTCAGAGTTATCATAAACAAACAGAAGGTTCAAATACTTCCCATCAACATGAACATTTCAGGAATCTTAAACGTAATTTTCTCTCACAAACGGATGAAGTCGCTTTGAATTACAGATATCAACAAGTAAATTCATGCTATCTAAAAGAGTTTGACGATATCTTAAGCAGATTGCATGACTCAGATAACTGCATTTTGTAGTTTTTAGCACTGGTTTCATTTTAGATATCAAACATAAAAAAAGGTCAGTCTTCACAATATATCATGTTCACAAGTTTTTATAATGCAATAATAAGCAATTAGTTTGACCAGTTTGTTGACATGTATAGATTATGCTTTAATTTACGACCAGTGCATTGTTCAACCATTTTTTTTTTACAAATGTATGTTAACTATTTTCAATGTATATAATAAACCAGGTGATGTATAAAAAAACCCCTTTTTGATAAAAACAACTTTTAAACAATTAACATGTAAAAGAATTACAATTTTCTGAAAGTTGATTTTGTATCAGACTTTACAAGGTTGAGGATTTTCAGAAAACGCTGGTTTCTTTGGCAGCAATTTCAGTTCTATTTGTATAACTAAATATTTATTTCCTTTCTGACTATTAAGTGTGCATTTTTTTCTAGGACGAACGGCATTGCTGTACCTTAGAAGAAAAAAAATCAACTACAGATGGGAGTGTGTTTTCATTATAACTTAACATCACTTGTAATCTCACCTTTTCTTCCCCGTGTTTCAGGATGGACAGTCACGAACAGTAAGGCAGTTTCAGTTCACCGACTGGCCTGAACAAGGAGTGCCAAAATCAGGAGAGGGTTTCATCGATTTCATCGGCCAAGTACATAAAACAAAAGAGCAGTTCGGCCAAGACGGTCCCATCTCAGTCCACTGTAGGTAAGTGGTCAGGCAACATTCCCAAGCACCCTGGGCATCCTTTTTGGATCATCATGTGAATATTAAAACATTGGATCGCAACACGAACGTCTTCTCTCTCGTTTGCCTGATTTGCACAGCGCTGGAGTTGGTAGAACCGGAGTTTTCATCACCCTCAGCATCGTCTTGGAACGGATGAGATACGAGGGCGTGGTAGACATCTTTCAGACAGTGAAAATGCTACGGACACAAAGACCAGCGATGGTACAGACAGAGGTGAGCCGGCGTAAAAACAAAACTTCAGTGTGTTTTATTACAGAAGAGCAAAGACTAGTGCGGATTTGTGAAGCGGAATGGAAATCTTACACACTTTTCGAACACTTGCAAACAAAAATCTTGTGCGTAGTTTCCTCCCCAGTCTTTTACTACAGTTGCAGCTGCTTTCAGATTCCTCTGATTTCCATATCTACAAAATGAATTTTCTGCCAGTTCTGAGAAATTTAACTTGCAGCATAACTCAAGCTCAGGAACGACTTCAACTGCGCAACATTTCATTTTTAGAAGATGCTCTCTGTTGCATGCTCAGAGATTGGGATTTTGTTTTCCAAACTAACTCTGCTTTAAATTTCCCCACAACTTTATCATCATCTTTCATGTTTGATCACTTTATTAGGGAGTCTGAATACAAACATAAATCAAAATGTGTTGTTTTAATCTGATAAAAGTACTTTTTTTATTTTTTTTTACCTCAGATTTATTTACAAAATGCTGAAAAAAATAAGTATTAAAATAAAAAACTATTAATACTCTGAAAATACACGTAACGTGAATATTTTTGCAGGATACTGCCTTCCTGAAAGCGTGGGAGACTCATCAAATCAGCTGCTGTGGTTCTAACACATTATTTTACTCCAGTTGTTTGAGCAGCCTAGGAAGATTTCAGGAATCCTCCTGAGCCATAAAGATCAACTTAAGCAAGCCGTTGTTGAAGAGTATGATTAATTTAGTAGCTGAATATGTTTGCAGTAGCTGTGCGCGCGCTCAGCTCCAGTCTTATTGCGTCATTTCAGAAACAATGGCTAGCTGTAGGTATTTTATTTTTTTTAAGTTGGTTATATTAACCGCAATGTGTAAAATAAGTGATACAAAATGATTTGATTTAAAAGGCACTAAAAAGTGTTCTTTGTTTCCAGGATCAATACCAATTCTGCTACAGAGCCGGCTTGGAGTATTTGGGAAGCTTTGATCACTATGCAACGTAAAACGCCCAGTATTGGAAGATAAAACTGGAGGGCCCTTTGGGAGAAAAAAGAAATCCAAGCGAGCCTCTCTTCTGAGCCATAAATTCCTGCTTGAGAAAGTACTCCTTAAAACTCCTTGCTAACAATTCATTTAAGTGTTGGATGTGCGACATGACTCGTCAAAAAATGAAAAAGATGATTCCCGGAGGACCAAGTAATTTCCCCAACAAGCCCAAATAAAAAGAACCTCAGCTTAAGATGAGCATGAGGGGTGGGGGGGGGGAAATCCTGACTATCGAAGCATCATAGGGAATTACCTTTTCTTTTTTGCTTCAAGGATCCATTTTGGGGCTCATAAAACTAAATGAAACCAACGCAAGAAAAAAAAGTCAATGAACAATAATGACGTCGTCAGAAATGCATCAGTGATTATGACCCATAACGAGAGACAACGAGAAGCACACCGAAATACAGGGGGAAGCAACTCAATGCACATTGTACAAAAAGAAAAAGAGGAAAAATTAAAAAAAAAAAATCAAATCTGTTTCACAATCAAGTCCACACATCACATCAAGAAGACGATGCTTGGTCCACAGGAGCAGAACAGACTAAAAGTAATAACGAATAAATAAATACCCCTTTTATCTGGTCGCAATGTTGATTCATTTCAGTTTGGGGGAGAGGTTAAAGTTAGAATACAAAAGTATTGATTTAGTTTTTTATTATAAAAGTTGATGTGCTTTTTTTCGAATGTCTTTCTTTTCTTTTACAGAGAAAAAGAGTTGAAACATTTTTTTAAAGCTGTAGAACTGTTCTAATGTACGTGCTGTTTTTGCAGAGAATCTGTTTGCTAATTTTCATACACTTCAAAAATTCACACCATCCATACTGTAACTTCCTTCAGAATATTTTTTTTTTTTTTTTTTTTTTTTTTGTAAATTTTTTCGGTGTGTTTTGATTTTTTTTTAAAGATTTTTTTCTTCAACAC